CCAAAAGAAATGAGGCAAACAAGCAGCGGCAGATAGTTGCGGTGCTCGAGGACTCCACCCGCGAATTACATAAGGCAAATGTTAAGAGAGTAATTGGTGCCGTGGAAGAGAGAGAAACAAAAGCAAAAAATTATTGCCTTCACGTAACTAAGAGATGATCTCTTAGGAAGAAAGATAAGATATTGGTCTCCGTCGTACGAGATTCCTTCACTTATTCACATATTTTTCTAGTTTAAATTTTAATCACTCCATAATTTTAAGATCTCATAACATTAAATGTTAGAAAGATAACACTAAGAGAAAATACATTGTATAATACTTTTAATTGCATTCTCTAGATAGGGTAGAAAACATAAAAAAATGCCGCCTTATCAACAACAATACATGCCCTAACATCTTCATATAGTTGAAACAGAGGGACTATAGCATAAAAGGAAACTAATTAAACCAGATAACAGAAACAAAAGGTGCTTCATTAATATGTATGAGCAATCAGCAATGCAAAACTTAATAGTCAGTAATGCAGTACTGTATCATTACGTACCTCTTGCCCTCCAAACGTTGTTTGATCATGGTGACCAGTTGGTTCATGTCCCACTCTTTAATTTTCCGGAGGAGATAATCATTTCTATCATTGTCAACCAAAGCCGTAAGCTGCTTCAACACGGACTCGAGAAGAGAACGGACGTCGTATGTCTGGGACACCGGAACGAAAGCACGGCACTGGATACCGCCCAACTCTGGGGTGTTGTAGACGGTCGTCGCGAGGGTGGTCTTGCCGAGACCACCAAACCCCACTATGGACAGCACTCGGGGACTCCCCACCACCTGGCGTTGCTCGTTCAGCAGGCTAACCACGGCATCAGTCATGTTGCCCATCCCGACTAGCCCGGACCCGTCACCATGTATTGCTGGCAGCCAGCGGTCCAGGTTGTCGAGGTGGCTGTACGAAGTATCAAGCGCTTTGCCCGATCGTTCAGCCGGGTCGTCACTCACTTTCTGAGTGTACGTGTACCTGATCCTCCGGTCACTCACTTTCTGCGCACGAGATTTGAGGCCCTGGATATCGGTGGCCACCTTGTGCCGCACCCCCAATGTTCGCACCATGTTGAACATCCTATGGAGGTATTCCAGGAGTCCTTGACGGTCTCCATGATTCTCGCTGAGGTGATGGCAGAACCTGTCCATGCAGTCCTCCACATCGAACGCGACCTCCCTCACTTGTTTCATCCAAGTCCTAGTCTGCACGTATATGAATGAGCACATCAGTTCATCATGCCAGGGTTTGTCTCATCGCATTATAAGAGGCATGATTTCCTTGCTATCAAAAAGTTGCAATTAAAAAGTTCATCTACTAGCATTTGCATTACTTGTTCATTGTGATCATCGCTATCCACGAGGTCGCGGAGGCACGCGGTCATGCTCTCAAGCTCATCTTTGAGCTCCTGGATCTCCCCACGAACGCCGCCGAGAAGCACATATTTGGTGGCAAGGACGTTGCCGAGCTTCCCCAACAGGATATGCACGGCGCCCTGGGAGGCGCTCACCACGGCCTCCATCACCTTGCCCGTCCTGCCATGTTAACTTTCGTTGGCATGGCTTAGTACAAAAACACTAAACCACACCAGCCACAACCATAACTTGATTTCTTGTAATTGTAAGTTTGTAAGGCGTTACCTTTGGTTTGAGCGGTCTGGACCTGTTCACATCTTTCAAAAGTCAACTCTGTTTGCCAAGGACGAGCAGGTGAATTGGTTATGGCACACCCACTCGAAGGCCACCAGCTCCTGGATGCCCACAGCTGACTAGCCCATCGCTAAGAGAGGTGAAAATTAGAGTTCTTACCATCAGTGAACCATGCTATTGTACTCTGAGACAACCAAACTAGCTCAAAAGATTTACCTGCTACGATGCGAGATAAATAAGAACTGTAGTTGGCTCGGCCGATCTGCGGGACAGGAGAGCGGCGCACCACAGATCGCAATCCACTGGCCAACAACGCACCCAAGATTTCCGCAACAAAACGTAAGCTGGCTCGATCTGAAGTCTGGAACAACAACAATAGATCAAGAACTCACTCAGAGCAAAAAAGCACGAACTTCCAATTCAAAAGCTTAACCCAAGGGAGAGAAGAGAAAAGGCCAAACCTTGACAGAAATCGATAACCACTTCTTGTTCAGCCGCGATGAAGAATGGAGTCGCCGGAGATAGCACACCAAGAAAAGGGAACAAGACTAGCTGGTCCAGATGGACAGAGGACAACCGAGTAAGGCTGGGCAGTGTGGTTAGGTCAAGTGGTGAGGCAAGTTGTGTCTATTTTATGGTTGATGAGTTGGTTACATTTTTAACAGAGAAAGCAACACCTACCAGTAGCACTGCACTAGCAGTATATAATATGATGCTGCACTGAAGGATTGGTCATTTGTTCTCTTATAAGGAAGCTGGCCTTTAAATTGTTTCTTCACAGTAGGTGCTCACTTGTTTTTCATGGATGGTGCGTCCTTCCATATCTGTCGCGTTTTATGGGTGGTTAGTGACTTAAAATAACACTCTCTTGGGTTAACCTGCAGGTGCTGAACCAATCAGCAGAGATAAACTAATCACCCAGTTCAGCACTGATGATTGTTTCTTATAGGAGTGAGATGTTAAGCTGAAAATGGAGATACCGATAGTTGAACAGTCTGTTGGTAAATAAGATTTACCTGCTGTGATGCCAGGTGAATAAGAACAGTAGTTGGCTCAAATAAGACTTCCACAATCAAATGCAAGCTGGCTGGATCTCAATTCTGGAATAACAATAATAGATTAAGAACTCAGTCAGACCAATGGTTGTGATGCACAGACAGCAACGCAGACTGCAGATTGGCTTAAAAGTAAATTTCAGATAACCAATCCTACTCAGTTTGTTCTGTGGTGTCTCAGGGATATGTGTACAGTTTGCCCCTCCTTACAGCGAAAGCGTGTCGATAGATCTTCATACTGACTGATATCAGCCTATCCACTCATCATAGTCCTGTACCTGAAAACACTGCTTTGTATATGCCAAATCAAGGTCAAATTGCACAAGTGGTAGTGCTAAAAGCGGCCCCGTTCTTCTACCTGTGTCTTGACAATTTTGCTGAAAGCAGTTGGGAACCCCCTCCAGAACAAATTATCTTATTGCTTGTTTTCGCAACAGTGCCAGCGAGTAACTAGGTCTTTTAGCTTTCACAGCACAAGGAATTAGATTCATTCACAAAAATCCTTCATATAGCTGGACAGAAGGAGACCTTTTTGTTTAACTAGGCAACACCCATTTTCATTGCCAAGACAACGTTACCAATGTATGCATAAAGTAAAACAAAATAGGCATTCGAGTTCAATGCACGCCAGGAAAACCCACTAGTTGTACCACTCCTGATTAATAATACAACCTATGGGACAAAAAACCTGTCGCAACAATCAATCGTTCAACCTAAGTTCAGGAAGCATGCAGTTATACAGATTACAGTATATAAGCAAGAGGACACTTAGAAGGCAGCAGATGCCAAGCTGGCGCTGCCTCGTCATCTTGTTCACGCCGTACTGCAGGCCTATCCACCTGCTGATTGGTTGACTGCTGCTCACTGTACCCCGCCACTGCATAATTGACACATAATGGGTAAAATGTTTGGGGTCAGAAAAAGGTTGTTGTTGAAAACAAAGTATAGGGCCGGAAGAAGAATCAAATGCAAACCTGAACTTGCTTGTGCAGCTTCCGTAGAAGGTTGATCGTCCCTGGTGACTTTCGGACGATTTGGATGTATTTTGGCCGCCTCAAACACCTCATTAAATATAGAATCTATAATGTGACTGAAGAACTCAACTTCTCTTAGGCACAGCAGGTTCTGAATGCCGTTAATGCCTCCACGGGGCACCCTACTGAAAGCCAATGTGAGCCTCTCAAGATTGGGTGAACCCCCACGGAAGCTGAGCTCACGGAGATGTTCTTGATTATCCACAACCAATTGCTTCAGTCGGGGAAAACTGTCCTCTTCAAAACATAAGGTACTCCCAGCATATCCCCTGAAGTATAGCTTGAGAGAAACAAGACTGGGGAGCTTCCCTAGAACCTCAAAGGATTCCTCCGCCAAGTGGTGAGTCTCTCGAAGCGACAGACTGGCCAAGTTGTTGAGCGATGATACCCAGTCAGGCAGCTTAGTTAGCCGTCCCCCCAAATGCAGGCTCTGCAGAAACAGAGGGGGGGCCTTTAGGCGTACTAAAAATTCCAGCTCCTCGCCTTTCTCTGAACCATCCAGGACCATTAGATAACGAAGAGAGTTGCTAAGCACATTCAAAGACTTGGCAAAGGGTTTCCAAAACTTTGCTTCATTCTTGTTGATTACACAAAGTCTGGTTAACTGCCGCAATTTTTCCAGTTCATGCATTGCACAGGAGCTTTTCTGTGTAGAGATGTCTACATGGGAGATTCTCTGGAGGGCAACCATATTCCCTAATCCAAGTGGTACCTTCGCTCCACGTTTCCCCCCAAAACGCTTGACACTTCGTGTCCTTGTGTAATATGCATAACGGCCTACAAGTAGATGATTCAGATTCTGGAGCCGAGTGATACCTTTGGGAAACTCGACGACAGGAGTTTCCCTTACGTCCAGTGTCACCAATTCTTTAAGTTTACCTACTGCATTTGGTAGTTGGGATATGGTTGTCTTTCTAAGGCTGAGGTATCTCAGCAGAGACAGTTTGCAAATGTCCTTGAGATCCTTATCGCTTAACCATCCACATCCTTCAAGATCTAAAACCCTTAAAAGTGTCAACTCAGCAAATTTGATGGGTACAGGTTTCTCAATCCTGTCCAGAATTGTCAGTGAACGGGTATGGACTATGTTCTTACTGGAAAAGGTTATCTGCTCCTTGGCGACACCAGGGTGGATGGAGAGCCTTCGTACCTTGTCATGGCCTGCTGTTGTGTTGTATTGACTGCTCCCTAGGAACGAGATGAAATTTTCCTTGACAGATTTAGCGGTGATAACTTCTAGCATTATGTCGTGGACTTTACAACTCTTAATCTTGCCACTACAGCCAATCTGTTCAGGGCTGACGATGTTTCTACTGACAAACTCATCCAAATAATTCTGAGCAATCTCTTCCAAACTGTGACCATACCTTCCAGAGATTAAGCCTTCAGCTGCCCACCGTCTAATCAGAGAGCCTCTTCTGACCTCAAAATCCTCAGGGAAAGCACACAGGTATAAGAAACATGCTTTCAGATGGTATGGCAGATCATTGTAGCTCAGAGAAAGTATCCGTCTCATTCCCTCTAAAGTGGGGTTTATCTCCAGTTCAGAACCCAGCCTATCACGTACTGCTTGCCACTCTGCCGATGTCTTGTCTTGCCTCCGAGCAAGCATTCGTCCTATGCTCACTATAGCTAGAGGTAGACCGTTGCACCTTGCCAAAATGGCATTGGAGACTTTCAGCAGGTCGTTCGGACATTTCCCTGACTCAAAGACCGTCTTGAAGAATAGCTTCTCTGAATCATCCATCTGTAACCGCTTCATTTCATAGACAGGATCATTGGGAGAGGTGCAGCAATTTTTTGCCACCTCATGACTGCGTGTAGTAATTAATATGCTGCCCTCTTCACCATTATCATGAGGAAAAGCTACCTTTAGCTGATCCCATGCAGCTGCTTGCCAAACGTCATCCAGAACGATCAGGTACCTAAAAAAAGACCCACATTCTTATGAGTAGGCTAGTAACAAAAATCGAGCAGGGACAGGGATTCCATGCTAGGACATGCATGTGGGAGTTGTGTACTGGCTTGTTACTTGATAGTTGCTACCTAGTTGACTATAATCTCATCTCGTGATAAATTTGGTGACAAATCTGTTCATCCTATTTTTTCTTTATGTGTTCGCTTTACACATTAAGTTCATAGATCTGCTGGTTCTATGCCTAGCACACACACTTGGCACCGCCTTCAAAAATTCAAAAAAAAATCTACTCCCTCCATTCCAATGAATAAGGCTAGCACGCATTTCAAAATTAAACTTTGAGCATAAATTGGACCAACCAAGTGTGAGTTATATGTGACAAAAGTTATATTGTTGAATTTGTATTCAAAGAAGTTTTCGGTGGTATAATTTTTAATTCAAAACTGTATATATTATTGGCATAATTCTTGGTCAAAATTGAATTTTGAACTATGTGTGTGCCTTAGTCATTGGAATGAAGGGAGTACATAATTAACACTAATTATCTAACAAGTTAATGCTATTTCAAAACTATTTGTTGAGATTATGATGATGTTTATATGTATAGTGTAGAATTTTGTGCTGAGATCCTAGGTACACCACTGCCTCCAGATCTCGTCCTCAAAATGTGGCATGCTCGGCCAAGGCCTTGAGCTCGAGCATGCTCGACGCCACTACGAGCCTTGGCTGAGATGGGTAGGGCTGGACATGAGCAAAGCCAAGCCAGGATTTGGCTCGCTATTGGCGAGCCGGCGAGGCAACTAGAGGGGCTCAGATCGGAATTGGCATAGGCTTGAGCCAACTCAGGCCAGCTCGCGAGCCTGGGGTGACATGACGCCATGTAGCCTTGGTGGGGCGATGTGGGAAGGAGAGAATAGGAAGACGGCTGAAGGATCCCGGATGCCGACGGCCTTAGTTGGGGAGGAAGCACTGGTGAAGCCTTAGGGAGGCTAAACAGGGGCGAAAAATGTTCAAGAATTTTAAAAACGTTCCAAATTTGAAAAAAATGTTCGTGAGTTTAGAAAATGTTCCCCAAATTTCAAGAAAAATTACAAACTCAAAAATATATATGAATTTTAAAAAAATGTTCACAAATTAAAAAAAAGTTCCCGATTTCAAAAGATGTTGCCGTTTTCAAGAAATGTTCAGGAATTTTTTTAAATGGAAAAACAAAAAAGAAAAACAGAAAATTGAATAACCAAAGAAATAAACAGATAAAACGCAGAAAAAAGAAGAAAAACCGGTCCAGGGTTCTACAGAACATGCCCTACACCTGTGGGGAAGACAAAGAAAAAAGCCTCAATGGGCCGGCCCATATAGCCATGCGAGCATGCAAGGGGGTGAACCTCCTGCCGCCTTACAGGAGCAATAGGACAGCCTTAGTCCGGTTGTCATTCTTATTCCCCTCCCTCCCCTCTCTGCCGTCTTAGATGGGTTAGATCAGGCCGCAAACTGCTGGGCAGGATCGAGCCCGGGCTTGGCATGAAGCACAAACAAGTGTACCATGCCAACTCGGCTCGGCCTATTTTCTTCTTGGGGCTGAGCTACAGAGAGCTCCAAGCCAAGCCTAAAAGCTCCCTCGGCCCCTTCGTTGAAATGGAGGAACAAGATGATGAAGAGAGAGAGATAGAGAGAGGGAGAGAGAGAGAGAGAGAGAGATGGTCACTTTCTCATTCACTTAAGACTAGATCTGGCAGAAAACAAAACCGAGGTGCAAATATGTAAATAATGCTAATGGAGCTTCAACTTTTGCAAACTGAAATAAAGCATGTAGATTGTAATTGGCACTGCAGACAGGTGGAAAATTGTAATCTCCGCATTTTATATAAACTTGGTCAGACTGAAAGAAGTTTCGCACTTGAAGACAAAACTATAACATCTTTGGATTTTTCAAACAGAGGGAGTATGGCATAAGAGGAAACTAATTAAACGAGAGAATAGTAATAAAAGTGCTTAATTATGTACCTCTTATGCTTCAAACATTGTTTGATCTTGTCAACCAATTCGCTTATGGTCCATTTTTTAATGTTCCGGAGGGGATCGTCATCTTTATCACTGTCAGCCAAAGTCGAAAGCTGCTTCAGCACGGACTCGAGAAGAGAACGGAAATCGTATGTCTGGGACACCGGAATGAAAGCGCGGCACTGGATGCCACCCAACTTTGGAGTGCTGTAGATGGTCGTGGCAAGGGTGGTCTTGCCCAGGCCACCGAAACCCACTATGGACAGCACTCGGGGACCTGCCGCCGCCTGGCGTTTCTCACTGAGCAGCCTCACCACGGCATGAGTCATGTTGCCCATCCCGACTAGCCCAGACCCGTCACCATGGATTGCTGGCAGCCAGCGGTCCAGATTGTCATGGTGGCTGTACGAAGAAGAATCAAGCACTTTGCTTGACCGTCCAGCCGACTCGCCTAGATCATACCTGCGCCTCCTTTCGCTCACTTTCTGGGCACGAGATTTGAGGCCCTGGATATCGGTGGCCACTGTGTGCCGCACCCTCAATGTCCGCACCATGTTGAACATCCTATGGAGGTATTCGAGGAGTCCTTTACGGTCTCCATGGTGCTCGCTGAGGTGATGGCAGAACCTGTCCATACAGTCCTCCACATCGAACGCGACTTCCCTCACTTGTTTCATCCAAGTCCTAGTCTGCACGTATATGAATGAGCACATTAGTTAGTCATGCCAGGGTTTTGTCTCATCTCATTACAAGAGGCATGCTTTCCTTGCTATCAAAAGGTTCAGTTCAAAAGGATCCATCTACTAGCATTTGCATTACTTGTTCGTTGTGATCATCGCCATCCGCGAGCTCGAGGAGGCAGGCGGTCATGCTCTCGAGCTCGTCCTTGAGCTCCTGGATCTCCCCGCGAACGCCACTGAGAAGCGCGTATTTGGTGGCGAGGACGTTGCGAGCTTCCCCAACAGGATCTGCACGGCGCCGTGGGAGGCACTCACCACGGCCTCCATCACAGTCACTCGATCTGCCATGTTAGTTTTCGTTGGCATCTCTTAGTACGAAAACACTTAAGCACATCAGCCACAACTTGATTTCGTGTCAGTATGTAAAAGGCATTACCTTTGGTTTGTGCCACACACGTTCAGACTTGAAACGTCTGGATCTGGTCCATCTTTGCTAGCGTCTACATCTTTCTAAAGTCAACTCTGTTTAGCAAGGCACACCCACTCAACAGACCACCAGTTCCTGGATGCCCACAAGCCGACTAGCCCATCGCTAAGAAAGGCAAAAATTAAAGTTTTTTAATAACCATCCATGGACAAGCTATTGAGACATTGAAACTAGCTCAAAAGATTTACCTGCTGCGATGCGAGGTAAATAAGAACTGTAGTTGGCTCGACCGATCTGCAGGACAGGAGAGCAACGCACCACGGATCGAGATCCCGCGGCCAACAATGCACCCAAGATTTCCACAACCAAATGCAAGCTGTCTCGATCTCAACCCTGGACCAACAACAATAGACCAAGAACTCAGACCAGAAAAAGCATAAACTTCCAATTCAAAAGCTCAACCCAAGATAGAGAAAAAACAACAAACCTTCACAGAAATCAACAACCACTTCTTGTTCAACCGCATTGAAGAATGGAGTTGCCAAAGCCCAGAGATACCACACCAAGAAAGGAGATCAGAGATTAGCTGGTCCAGATGGGCAGGGGCAACCAAGTAAGGCTGAGGAGCGTGGTTAGGAGGCAAGTTGTGTTTGTTGATTGGTTGAATTGGTTACATTCAGTAAAAAAATATGACGCTACACTGAAGCATTAGTCATTTGTTTTCTTATTAGGTCTTGGTCTCTAATTAAATTGTTTCCTCAGAGTAGGTGCCCACTTATGGTGCGTCCTTCATACTTATTATCTGACCTCTTATGGGTGGTTGGTAACCTAAAATAACACTCTCTTGGGCTGACCTGCAGGTGTGGAACCAATCAGCAGAAGATCAACGAATCACCCAGTTCAGCATTGATGATTGTTTCCTACAGGAGTGGGATCGGATGTTAAGGGAATAATGGAGACAGCGATAGTTGAACAACAGCAGGCAGACGCGTACGCGTAGTCGTGTAAGGATAATTACAGCAGCAGCAGATTAGTACGTCTTCATCCTTTTGTTGTTTCATGTCGTAGTAGCTAGTAGCTACATCCTGAACAATCTGGGAGGCAGCTCTTGTTCAGCTGAACCCTCGTTTTCTGCCTCTCAGACTGTTTTGAACCCTGCATATTAATGCCAGGCTGCTTTGAACCCTATCTCGGGCTAGCTGCTCCACATGAAAGAGATGTGAATGAATACACAAAGAGAAGAATTTGCTGGAGAACTGGAGACTAGTGGTGCCCATGGTTCGTAGCCAGGAGCATGATATCAGAAACTCAAATATGTGGTAACAATCTGTTGGCCATGTGTTTTATAAATGCATAAAAATCCAGTGTACAAATCTGTACTTTGTTAACTGGCCACCACATTACACCAAACTTGAATTTGTTTGCCACAACACAGGTAGATCACAGAGCTAAGGAAGGGCTGCAGCGCACCACAGTACTTCTAACAAGGAACCAAATGCATGCCGGCCAAAGTGTAACTTGAGTTTTCCAAAACTAACAAAAGGCAACTCAATTGCAGTCACAAGTCATTTCAGCGCATGCTTCTTATCTGATTTTTAAAACATTTTATTCCACATTTCGTGTTAGACAGAAAATTCATCAACAAAATAGGAGTGAAGGCAACTAAGAGAATCCAGCATTACGGAAACCTTCGAGCCTGAAAAGGTTCAATTGACACTGACAGTCCCGCAGTGCTCGCAGCAATCAACCATGGTAATCATATGGTTCATACATTCAGCAGAACCTGCAGATAAGAGCAGCAGATTTAAATTTGCATACATATTGCACAATTGCTTCCTTATTCTATGGAAAAGTGCAACCCAGCATTTGCGATATATGTGCGGATAAGAACATTAATACACACCAACACACAAGGATTCAGTTCCATTCCAGGTAGAGCGACATATTCATACGGAGCACGGCAGAAAGCAGACCACATTTGCATCTACGTCTAAAATCGACAACTCGACTTGCTGAATAATGGGCAGTTGTAAATTCAGAAATGTGCAGTTGCAATTAAACAGCAAGGGTTACTACGATCACAACGAAACAACACAATCAAATGTCACACATTGCATCATAATGAAATGTGTTTGGTGTGTACTAAAACAACCTAGGTAACAACTACCGTATACAGGTGACAGGGCCATCAGTTTCTCGACAATTTCACTACAGCAAGTCATCCATGTGCAGGCTCAAGCTAATCTGAGTTCCCAACTCCGCCATAGGGATCTCATCTCACCTCGAAATGCAGGGGCCGCCGATCAGTCCATGACGACCTTGGCGCCGAGGGCCTTCATCCGCTCGACGATCTTCTCGGCCTCCTCCTTGGCCAGCCCTCCCTTGATGACGGCGGGGGCCTTCTCCACCAGCTCCTTGGCCTCCTTGAGCCCGAGGTCCGTGAAGGTCCGGATCTCCTTGATCACCTTGATCTTGCTGGCCGCGTCGAACGAGTCCAGCCGCAGCTCGAAGACGGTCTTCTCGGCCGCGGCCGCCGGCTTGTCGCCGGCCGCGCCAGCGGCCGCCGCGCCGCCGCCGCCGAGGCCCGCGGCGGAGTTGAGGATGGCGATGGGCGGCGCGGAGGGGATGTCGAGGCGGCGGAGCAGGAGGGCGGAGAGCTCGGCGGCCTCGGCGAGGGTGAGGGCGGAGACGTCGTCGACGAGGCGCCAGACGCGGTCGGAGGGCGGCGGGCGGGACGGCGGCGCGGTCGGGTCGAAGGTGGAGGGGTCGTAGTCGGTGGGCAGCTTGCGCACGTCGACGAGCTCCTCGGCGGCCGCCGTGGAGAAGGCCGCGGGGAGGCGGCCGCGGTGGTGGCGGAGGAGGCGCTGGCCGGAGCGGAGGAGGGAGGAGGCCATGGTGGAGCAGGAGGTTAGGGTTCTGGGGCCAGTGCTAGTGAATTGGTGATGCTCCGTGGGAATTGGGTTTTTGGAAGAGAAAACATGGCCTGGCCTGCGACTTTGGATCTGAACTTAGGCCCATAGAGCAAACCCGACCCAGTGAGCCCATCTTCTTTTTTCTTTTTCAGGTCTCCCAGTGAGACCATCTTGTTTCTCTTCTCAAGATTCTCAAAAAATAATGTTTCTCTCCTCAAAAAATAAGCAGCAGTAGTACATTCCCTTCCCTCAAAAAAAAGAGCACTAGTACATTTCCTACCCTAAAAAAAACAGTAGCACATAATCCTCTCAATTCTCAACAGAGTAAAAAGATCATAATCAGCCCAAAAACACAAATTAGTTTGACAAGAAAAAACACAAGCCTGGATTATAAATTCTCCTATAGAAGCAAGTAAAACGAATTCTACACAACAAATGACGACACATTTAGAAGTCATCATGCCTGAATAGTGCTTTCATTGCAAGTCATTCGACAGCATGAAGCCACGAACGCGGGACATAAAGCAATGTAACTGTTTCCGGTCATCAGGGGAACTACGACATCCGTAAATGAATTCAAGTGTGTGGTGTTTACACCGTGACATCCGATACACCAGCCATCAAATAGGCATATACATTGCAGTTCACCAAACTAGACAGTTATAGTAACCAACAACAAAAATGGATAACGAGGAGACTCCATTGTTCCGTCATGTTAGGGAAAATCTTGCGTATGCTTGGTTCATCTGACATTGGCTCCTCCCATCAGAAGATGTGACATGTCGTTGTGTTCATCAGACGCTCCTTCCATCAGAACTCAGAAAATGTGGACGATATCGTACGCAAATCTGGGAAGTGTTAAGGATGAACTCAAGCAAGAATATAGACATAGAAGCAGTTAAAAGAGGATGGGTTCAAATTAAGTAACTGTTATCAAATAAAAGAATAGCACATTAATTAATCAAGGATACGTCCAGAACAGCACGAAGGACTGCAAATGAAAAATTCACAATGTCAGAACATCACGCAAGCAAAAGCTCATTGTAATGAGCAAATATTACTCCCTCCGTTCCAAAATAGATGACTCAACTTTATACTAACTTTAGCACAAAGTTGGGTCATCTATTTTGGAACGGAGGGAGTAGAAGATAAACTAGAAAACGAGAACATAAAGAATACATATGGCAATTGAGTAGAATAAACAGTTGTGTTTGGATCATTTTGCAACATCTATCAAAGGACATGAGTGGCCATCCCTAGTTGGTTAAGGGATAGCCAGTTTTTTTAAGGATACCACATGTTTGTTTTGCGGGATAGAAGGGATAGTGGCAGCCAAGATACTAGGAATATTCTGTCAAAAGCTGGTTGAGCGGAGCCGGCAAAAAATGCCGGATGAGGGCAACCAGGCTCATGTTCTCACCACCCGAAGAGTTATCTCGCTTATCTCAGACTCGCTAGCACACCTCCCTTCAGTCTTCCCCCAATCATTGCCTAATGTTCTCGGTATATTGATTAGTGCAAATACGAACAAAAAATTGGAACTTTGTGTGCAGCCTTGCTGAAATCCAGAATGCTCACTAGTTTGTGTTTTCTGCGCAATGTGTATGAGCTCGTTTTGAGCTTGTACTAGACACAAACGCTCCTACTATAAGCTGGGAAGATCGTAAGAATGGTGACTGCATCTCTGCCACTACAGGATCTACTTCATAGGTTCCCGAAGCTTCAGATAGACAAATGTTACCCTTTTTCAGGTTAATTAGTATGATGCCTACTAGGAACTTGCAATTTCATTGTTTTAAGTTAATTCTGTGCATGTCAAAAATAAAGTTGAAATTACACGTATGGGGGTAATCTCGCCCCCTCTTAGCAAAGAGGTCATCACATCAACCTATCCATTTTTCATCCTTACAAGTTACAACCAAACAACAACAAATGGCTATCCAACCCATCTAATCCCACCCAACCAAACAGCAAAAAGTGGCTATCCCTAACCAGGTGGCTGGTAATATCCATAGCCACCCTATACTTGCCCCCAAACCAAACGCCACCTAACTATAACATAGATACCTTACTAGATAATAATCCTCCCAAGTTTCACTATTATTCATGGTTGTGGCCCTACTGGGTTATCTAAAGAAACAACTAAATCTTTAAACATAGTGGCAAATTAGAGTTGTATATACTTGTCTAACTCCTAGTGCTAACTTCAGGTTCTTTGACAGCCGTACCATATAAGAACTCATCTGGATCCAACTCAATGTTCAATAGCTTCCTAGATTAATTTAGACTAAAACCAAAGACGGGTAATAGTGTTTGTACATAACATATTTCAACAGTATATAAAATAGCATCCAAGGGTCAAAATGTTTATGCAGTTATTAGGCTGTAAACCACAGAATACTCATGATGGCAACAATACTTACCATAAGGCCGGCCAAAACCCCTTCAACTAAAATCCTGCTCCAACTATCAAAGTATGTGTGGACTGAGAACTTTGACTTGGCCAAGAGCCCAATAGATGCTACCATCATTATCAGAAAGTAGAAGACGAAGCCCGTCAGACCCGTGAACCCCCAGATGCCAGCAACAACTCCACTGATGATCGACAAGAATGTCCGACTGTAAAACCAACAAATCATCATGTTCAGGACAAACCATGTTTGGTTAAATAGCAGATAAGCGAAACGTCTAGGGTAATTCCTTCTAGTCGAAAAGGTGTTATCAACAAAATGGAAACAGGAAACTGGATAGTGTATCATCACACAGAAAACAATCAGTGCTTGAAGCCTGTTACTACAGTACTTATGTATGACCAGCACCAACCAAACACGTTAAAATAGTTACTGAACTGTAATTACATTGTCTAAACAACTTTCCATATGAGTATCAAGCACAGAGAACCAACAAGAGCATCACTTCGATACCCTCTCCACTTGAAAACTAGATACACTTAGTGGATCTAAAATCTAGGAGGCATGCCCACCAGATCGAATCACTACACCAGCTTAGCTTTGCCGTTCACCAACTGTAAGGCTGTTCCCCCCAGTCCAGACTCCCAGGTACAATGCATCTCAACCTGGCAGGAAAATCTAAGCAAATCCTTTTAAATCAGTTCACCACCCAGCTACCAAGGTTCCAATTCAGTATGTAAAGTTGTTAGCGCATCATAGAGAAACCAGTAATTCCAAAGTCGTCGTCCCCTTGCTCAAAAACGGAAAAAGAAATCCACTCCCCTCGTCCTTTCCCTCCAATACTTGCCGTGAATCATCCAGTGGCGAACAATTACGCTAATGATCCACGGGAGACGCTCGGATCAGACCTGAACAGTCTAAAAAAATCCTAAACTGAGCACGCCTCCAGAGCCCAGATCAGATCGAGTCCACCGTCGAACCCACCGGGAAGAGAAGGGGGGCGCGCGGAAGAGGGGCGCGTACCTGTAGAGGATGGACCTGACGTTGCTGGTGAGGTTCTCCGCCTGGATGACGGGGACATCGTCGGAGGAGGTGCCGCCGGCCGCCGCCATCGCCGCTAAAGCTCTCTTTTCTCCGGGCGAGATTTGGGCGCGGAGAGTCTGGGGCGGCAGCGATCTGGACGGGCTCGACTGCTCGGGGACGGGGTTGGGTCACTTGGCGGTGGACCTGGTCTATTTTTTTTTTCCCCGAGGGAGGTCTTAGGGAAACTTTGCAAATAGGCCCCTAAAAATAGAAATATATAGAATTGTCCCTAGGTTCAAGTCTGTTTTTATGTTTTGTGATAAAATTGAGGGGAGAAATCTGTTTAGCTAGAATTATATAGAAGAATTTTCTACTACCTTCACCCCCACATTAATTGTCCTACAAAGGTACCTCTACAGTTTGTATCAACTGTTCACTGTTTAAGTTGAATGCCCTCAATTGCACACCTATGATATAATTTATTTTATTGCGAAAAAGATTTGAATATAATATAAAAGTTCATCAAAAGTATAAAGCACCTTAAACATAAAAAAAAATACATGCTGATCTCTAGACCATCGGGCAATCACTTACTGTCAGTAGAACAAGCCGTCGACGCGCCGATGTTGGTGCTCCTTCATAGGAGCCGGCTTGACCATGTTGATGACAGATGGGAAGTCTTCGTGCATATGCCCCTAAGGACCGGTGTTGGGAGTCATATTCATCGGCGCTGAACCCTTTGATAGATCTGAAGCAACTAACACTGAACCTTTAGATTTTAGAAATGTTTCAACTATACAAATTTTAATGATTATGCAACTAACACTATAACTATGATACATGTGTGTTGCTACGGGCAATTAACAATGTTTGACAAAATGAACGATGTATGAACTCTTCAAATAATTTTATTTTCTCTTTATTGTACTATATATGTAGAATATGGCAACCTAGAACCAAACATAGGAGTAGTTACCAATCGCATGTTAGTTTCATAGAGACCTTAAAAAGCATCAAGTGAAGAATGAAATCATTAGACAAGAGGAGAATCTGAAGAGCACATTCATCCCGACAGCGACCAAGGATGAGCTCGGCTTGGGGGCAGGGCGAAGCAGGACATCAAGAGGACTGCAAAGCCCAATGCGACTTCTCGCTGCACACGGGCAAAGAATTTGCGTGCGGCTATGTGAACCGTGAAGTGTGAAACTGTGACTACTACTAACTCTGTTTCTAGTCCACTACTGTGAGCCTGTGACCGGAGCACTACTATGGTTTGAGCTGAACTACTATGTCTATGTTTTTGGTTCTTTCATGACTTCAAGTTTTTGTGTTGCCGAAGTTGAAAATATATGGGCAAATGGGTATCTTATTACATAACCATGATATATACTCCGAACGGAGGGAGTATCATAATTTTTGTAGTCATGTTTACAAATTGAAGAAGTTTGTTGGTTTGCTTTTTTTTGTCTTCTATCAATGGCTGGTGGCTGACTCTTGTTTTGACTTTCTTGAATGCTCGATGGAACTTCTCTTGCAGAGACAGGCTAA